TTAACTGAAAACATTTGTTTTATTTATATGAGTCAATTGAAGTCTCAGTTCTGTTTTCTTTATTGAAGTATAGTTGACATTTAGATAATCCACAAAATAAATGTAAGCATTGGTAATAATTCATATGTGTCCACTTGTGTAACCCTCATCAGAGTCAAGATGATGGACCTACCTTTCCATCGTCCTTCAAAATATTTCCTTGTTCCCATGGAATCGTTGTGCCCTGCCCATCTGCATGATCCTTGCTTGGCCTCAGAAACACTGACCAAATTTGTTTCACTATGGATATATAGTTGCATTGTCTTAATGAATGGAATGATTTGTTCTATTGGTGTTTGTAAATAGGATCACAAGTCCGCATCTTGTACTGCAATTAACCACTAAGAATAATATATGCAGTGTATTATTTGTTGAAACTGTACTTCCGATTAGATTTGAAACTGTCTCATTGCTATATGTTTATCAATAAAACTGTAGAAAAAAAAAAAAAACAAAAATACACAGGATAGCTTAGACAATTGTACTGCTGAGTTCTACTGCTATATTGAAAAGAATAATTAATGATCCTTTTTTTCTTCTTTTTAATTTTTTGACTAATTTTGCATGCTTCCATCTGCTAATCTGAACAACTAATTTGAAGGCAACAACATAGACACCACTGTTGAATTCCTATCATGTTGTTTAGTGAAATTCTGTATTTTTTCTAATGGCATTTTTTTACTATCTTTTATTTTCTTAAAAAAAGAATATATGGATGTAAAAGTAGTAGCAGTGTTGAGGAATAACACACAACTAACACTACTTGGCATTGGTATGGACTTTATGTTCAAGAAAATGAGCTAATTAAGAAGAAGAGAGAAAGGAATTACTGGGTGGGTCAAATGGAAAACTTATGTTTAACTTTTTCCAAAACTGCAAACCATGATTTAAATAGACTCCACTATTTTATAATTCCATCAGGAGCTTTTTAGCTAAAAAGACACTAAAGTGTTTAATGTCTTCCCTAGTCATTACTGTTGTCTAACTTTGTGCTTAGTCAGAGCCATCCTAGTCTAATCTACTAGTATCTACTTTGTTATAAATCATAATTATGATGTACATTTTCACAAACACTAAAAGTGAGAGATATTGTGTTCACCTTTTTCTAGGCAGATCACGTGATTTATGGAAATCCTGGTGTTGCAGACATTGTTAAGGAGAATAAAAAAGGAAGCCTTCTGTACTTAATTCTGAGCAAACCAGTCTTCAGTGTGATCTGCTGAGCTCTGCCCATGAATCAATTTTTAAACAAAAGAGTGTAGGACTTATTATTAGTTAAGTTACTAAAGAGGGCTAAACAAAGTTTGTTCACATTTGTCAA